ATTCATTTCGCAACACAGATTGTAAAAAAAAGTTATGTATTCAGATTCAATAATTGCAAATAAATTTTTGACAGCACTAAAACTGCTGCTTTAACTAAATCAATTATTGCTCCGCATTTTCTTGAAAACATTAAAACAGCTTTTGAAAAAATTAATTTTTATGAAATCGCAACAGATGCTAGTAATCACAGGTCAACCAAAGTTTTTCCTTTTTGCATTCAATATTTTGATATGTATAAAGGAACACAATTTAAGTTGTTAAAAGTTTCTGCTTTGCTCAATGAACCTGGTGCAACAATCACTAACTTTTTTATTAAAACTTTAAATGAATTTAAACTTGGTTTAAATAAAAGTGTAGCTTTCTGCGCTGATAATACAAATACGAACTTCGGAGGTATTCGAAGAAACGGTAAATGTAATGTTTACTATAATTTAAAAGAATCAAATAAAAATAAGGTATAGGTTGCCCGGCACACATTAAGCATAACACAATACAAACTGCAGCAGATAGACTATTTTACCATATTGAAGCTATAGTTTTAAAAATATTTACATATTTTTCAATTTATACTGTCAGTACTGAAAACCTTTTGCGATTTTTGCGATTTTGTGAGAATTTTGCGATTTTGTGGGAGTACAGTTTCAAAATATTTTGTCATATTCAATTACACATTGGCTTTCATTGCAACTTGCAGTAGAACGAATACTTAAAATTTTTATAGGGTTAAAATCATTTTTTCCTTCAGAGGAAAAAGCTCCAAAAACCATTTTAACTTTTTTTAATGACCCTTTGAGTGAAGCTTACTTGTTTTTTATTCACAGCCAACTGCATGTATATGAAAAAGGAAATAAAAGTATCGAAGAAAACAAGATTTGTTGCGTTGAAGTTTTTTCGACATTGGAAGAGAAGCTAACGATCGTTAAAGAAAAACGAGATGAACACTTTCTAACAGTCAATGTAAAAAATATTTTAAGACAACTAAAAGATGAAATATTGCAAGTTAATTTGTCAAATTTCAATCTGGAAATTGACGATTTTTACACAACAGCATACGATTATCTGGAATTTATATATTTGAAAGGAAACAATTTCAAGCCTAACCGTATTTTCATGAATGTTACTTTTGAAAAAGTTGAAAATGCTTTGAAAAGTATGAAAAATGGGTTGACATTTTTAAACTTTGCCATAACATTGAAGAGTATTCTGAAACTTTAAAAAAATATCAGTTTATGTTTTCTATTCCGCTTCATAATAGCAACGAAGAAAATATTTTCTCTGTTATGAATGGACAGTTGACAGATGAAAGAAATCCAATGTAAAATCTTTAGTAACGTTACTAACGTTACTAACTAATGTAGAATCTTTAGTAACGTTACTAACGTTACTAACTAATGTAGAATCTTTAGTGTTAACGAACTCTGATTTTCCTTTTTTTTTTTACATTTCTTTAATAAAAATTATAAAATTATAAGTTAAGATATAATAATATAAACAATTACAAGTGAGGATTTTTATTATAGATATAAAAAAAAATTAAAAAAAAAAAAAGAATGCGGAGACTCGTAGACATTAAGGTCTTGTCGTCGAGAACCGCTGCAAACTCGTTACAAATTTACTTGTTAGATATTTTAAAATAAATAAAAAAAACTATGTTCAACAATATTAGAAGAGAAACATAATTTAAATAAAAATAGAAACTTACAAATAAATTTCCTATTAAAAGTATAAAAGTATATAATCAATAGACAAAATGATTTTCTTAAGTTTCTTTTTATATGAGGTATAAGTCCATTCGTGAGAAAAGTCAAAATATTTCAAAACTATTTAATTCCAAAGAAAGGCTCCTCGGAAAGAAACACGAGATTTACCAAAATTTGTATGCGAAAATTGTAGTCAAATAAAGTTATCATTACGTAGATTGTACTTATTTTTTTCTTTTATTTAGTATAGGTTATGAAAGGAAGAAGGGGAATCGTTGGTTTTACATTTACACATAAAACATAAAATATTTTAAACGTTAAGCTGATATATATTTAAAATATTCATTCCAAGTAAGAGAGGCCTAGCATGAGTAAAACGGTCTTTAAAGTTTATAAGGCGTGCAATGTGTTTCTGTTGTCGATGAAGAGAGATTTTAACTGCCTGTAGTTTTATGAATATGTTATTTTGGAAAAAAATTGCTAAAGCAAGTCGGATTAAGCAAAAAATATGATTGATGCATGCGGTCCATAATAATCCATTAACATTATATACAAAATACAAAATACATAATTATTTTCCGAGTGAAGACTGGTTACTTTGGTAACATATGGCAATAAACAAGTATCCATGTATATATATATATATATATATATATATATATATATATATATATATATATATATATATATATATATATATATATATATATATATATATATATATATATATATATATATATATATATATATATATACTTAAACGCTTGACCATTTGAGCAAGTGGCATCTTTTTACCGAAAACCAATAATCTTTTAAATGAAAAGGCAGACATATCAAAAATAGTCATTCAAAAAATTATAAAAAATGAATAAGGTTATGTAAATTGTATGTTATAAATGTTGGAGCATAATAATCCAGTCATCTAAACCAATTTAATAGCACCAATGCATAACTAGTTCATTGATTCTGTTAATTTAGTTTGTATCATCAATACATAGGGATCAGTATACAAAAGAAATTTACTGTATTAACTTTTATTTTTTAAAACTCCACCAGTGATCTAGACTTTCTGACAAAATCAGATAGCTTTTTACCGGATAAGTCATTTGACTTTTCAGAAATATGATTAATTTGAATATATGACAAATGACATATCTTTGGCTCCTTTTCTCAAAACACCAATAATCGACGGGTAACCCCAAAACAAACTATGTTATATAAACTAGATGATATATTATATAAACTAGATGTCTAACTTGCGTGATTTCATTAGACTAAAAATGAAGTTGATTTTTTTGCTTATAAATATAGTTCGTATTTGTAAAAAGGGTAAAAGCTGAAGCTGATGTGTGAAATAAAATTTATTAATGAGAGTCAAAAGTTTCCAATAATTAAAGATAGTTCAAAATCATGTTATAATAATTATAAAATACTTATAAAGATTTAAAGTTTATTAAAAAAGAACCGAATTTTGTACTAAAATTTTGTGCCGGGTTTTTTGAACTTTTTCTTATGTAACGTCAGGCGAACGTTTTTTTGTGGCGTTTCTGTTTAGAAACATTACTAAACTTAGATTATTTTTGAAAAAAAGAATAGTTAAACTTGATTAATATATAACATTTATGTGTGGTTGGTAATTTTTGTATTGCTTTTATTTGTATTAAAAACTTGGTTGTTGTTCTCACATTATATTATTGTCAAAGGAATGCTCAGATAGTTTGCAAACCTACCCAGATAGTTTTTTACATATATTTTTTATCTACCTACCAAATTTCATTGAAAAATATTATTGAGCAGATAGTCTATAAAAGTGAGCAGTTTTGGTACCTCATTTCTGTTTTTCTGAATTCCGTAAGTGGGTGGTAAGAGGGGTACGAACAAGTTGGTTAGTTTAGTAATTATTTATGTTATATGTATATATAATATATATACATATGTTATATGTATATATAATATATATATATATATATATATATATATATATATATATATATATATATATATATATATATATATATATATATATATATATATATATATATATATATATATATATATATATATATATATATATATATATATATATATATATATATATATATATATATATATATATATATATATATATATATATATATATATATATATAAAGTGAGCAGTTTTGGTACCTCATTTCTGTTTTTCTGTATTCCGTAAGTGGGTGGTAAGAGGGGTACGAACAAGTTGGTTAGTTTAGTAATTATTTATGTTATATGTATAATATATATATATATATATATATATATATATATATATATATATATATATATATATATATATATATATATATATATATATATAATTTTTTTTTTTTAAATAAAATAAATTAGTGAAAATATACAAACTAATATTAAGTAATATTAAAAATCTAATAAATTACTGCAAAAAAAAAAAAAATATATATATATATATATATATATATATATATATATTACATATATAATAATATATATATAATAATAATAATAATATATATAAATATATATATATATATATATATATATATATATATATATATATATATATATATATATGTATATATATATATATATATATATATATATATATATATATATATATATATATATATATATATATATATATATATATATATATATATATATATATATATATATATATATATATATATATATATATATATATATATATATGTATATATATATATATATAATTTTTTTTTTTAAATAAAATAAATTAGTAAAAATATACAAACTAATATTAAGTAATATTAAAAATCTAATAAATTACTGCAAAAAAAAAAAAAAAAAAAAAATATATATATATATATATATATATATATATATATATATATATATTACATATATAATAATATATATATAATAATAATAATATATATAAATATATATATATATATATATATATATATATATATATATATATATATATATATATGTATATATATATATATATATATATATATATATATATATATATATATATATATATATATATATATATATATATTAATACAATTAGATATAGACTGCCAATAAGATGTTTTTTTCTTTTTCTTATTTTCTCAGTAGTTTATTAGATTTTTTATATTAATTAATATTAGTTTGTACATTTTTGTCTGTGTGTATAAATAGTATTTTTTAATTACGCAATAATACAGTATTATTAAAAATGTTTTTAATAATAAAAGTATAATATTGTTTATAATTTAATGTTATATTATTATTTGGTAGTTATTCAAGACTTTCTTTACATTTTTTTTGTAAATAAAGTTGCTTTTTGTTCTTAGTACAGTTAAAGAGTATTTAAATACACACTTCTTTTTACCTGTTAAAACTTGCAGTTGTTGTAAAAATAGACATGTACCTTTTTTATTCATTAACAGTGTTAAGTCATTTGTTATAACTATTATTTAGTTTAAGTATTTGTAAACCACATTTCTTTAGGGTTTTGAAAAGATGCAAAAGTTGGTTTTGCAACTTTACAAGGGATAGTAATCGTTTTAAGGAATTTTGTAATGAACCCTGTATATGCATTACACAAATCTTGCTCGTCTTTCTATGATCATGTCCCTCCAAGTAGTTTACTTACTACTGTTTTAAGTAGTTTAGATAATTCACCACTTGAGCACTTTAACTTCTCAGCTTGCTGTTACATCCAGCAAGTATTGAAAAAAATTAGTAATAGTGACAGCAAAATTAAAAAGCATGGCATACAAGTTAAAAGTACTAAGACAAAAATTACATAAAAAAAACAAATTGTTAAAGTTTCAAGAGCTGAACTTAGAGATCTTAAACAAAATTTGCAAACATATTATTACAGTAAGATAATACGCAATCTTAAAACTTAAAAAAAAAAGGCAATGAAAATTTCGGAACTTTAAAAGCTAAAATAAGTTAAAGTTGTACATAATATTAAGGCAAATAAAATACTTATAGCTAATTACGAATATTTGCTTGCATATATGTAAAGCAGTTGATCATCTAACTTTTATTTAGATTTTCATTTAGCATCTTTTAATGATAGTGATCAATCGATCATCTCAAATATATCAAACGCAATGTCAGGCAAAGTTGCAATTAACCATCTTACCATAAGCAAACTGTGTGACATTTAAAAGGGAAAGTTTGAATGAGCTAAAATGCCATTTACACGCTCTTGATATAATTGCTACCTCATGGCTGGGTATGATTGTATGGCATTTAAAATAGTTAGCTAAAATAAATGGCTTTGAACAAGTTGAGGTTTAAACATGGCAAAGGTGATTTAAAAAGATTTGTTAGTTTTTAGCTGATCAAAAACTACCACGAGGTATCATTCCAAGGTATCAAGGAAATCGTCTTCATATTTTTTTTCATACTTGTTTTATTTTTATTAAAAATTAAAAGAGTGTGAGCATTTTTTAACCATTTAACATTAATATGCAGAATTATACAAAAAGTTCTTAAAGCTGTATTTTGTAACAAAACATCTCTAAAGAAAAAGTGTGTTTGCATTATTTGGAAAACCACCTCCTTAAAGTCCACTATAATGGTCAAATTTTGACCATTATAGTGGAATCCTGGTATTAAAAAATATTTTACTGAAATTTGCAGATTCTAAATCAAATCCAGGTTCAGTTTTTAAAATGACTTTGAACCAAATATTTTAGATCCAATAAAAAATGTTTTGTTTGATTGATGAACACTTTATCAATATGACTTTTGCTTGTCTTATTGCAGTGGAAGACGTCATAACTCATCAATGTAAGAGATATTTCTCACTTTCTATTAACCAGGCTCTCAAGGAGGAAGTAGCATGTGCAATTATCTAGAGAAAATATAGTTATGTGGTGGATTCAGAAACCCATAAAAATGTAGTCATGTGGTCGATTCAGAAACCCATAAAAATATAGTTATGTGGTCTATTCAAAACCCATAAAAATATAGTTATGTGGTCTATTCAGAAACCCATAAAAATATAGTTATGTGGTCTATTCAGTAACTCATAAAAAGAGATGATAAATCAAATGAAGCATAATGATATATGAGTAGATATTTCAAAAAAACATGTATGCAAATGCCAAAAAATGGATGAAAAAGACAAAAGAAAGTTAAAATGACAGTTGCTTGAACTCTTTTACAATTAAATAAAGTGTTTAAATACATTGTCTATCAAACAACTTCATGACTAAGATGATGTAATGTCAGATAGAATTGTTGGGCAAAAACTTTGCCATGAATGGTACAATAGTAAGTATTCGAAGTATGTCATGTATGATGGTAGAGAAGAAAAACTTGATAAAACAAAACAAGACAAAGTTTAAAAAGGTAATACTGATACTGAAGCTGTTGACTACAACATGAAAAAATTTCAGCTTCCAGTGATGTTGGACTAGGAGAGTTGATTTTTTTTTTGAAGTGTAATATGTAACAACTTATGATATTACTTGTAATGAAGCTTTAAAAATAGATACTGCAAATGATAAAACTTACAAAACAGATACGGCATATGATGAAACTTGTATAAAGGTATTGTAAGTAATAAAACTTGAAGAAGTAGTCATATCATGCCAGGTATGCCTGGTATTAAACCATATGTTTTTGTTTTACTTTTTTTTACAAATGTTTTTAGAGAAGAATAAAAGTATTCAACTTGGAATGACCTTTGCACAAGTGTTGTGACTTGCAAAATATTTTGATAGGCAGCTCTGGCTTATCTTCACGTGGTGTCTATTGTTACAAATGATTATTATAGTGTTCCATTTATGAAATTGATTATTTTAATTATTTACTAAAAGCTAAGCCAACTATTTAAACTTAGGATATCTAAAATGTTTTAATACAGTACAATATAAAATTGATTGTTACATTTTTTTTATAGGATACAACACTGATATTTTTGGTAATGAAATAAAATATATTTAATGAAATATCAAAAAATGAAATATACCAATTTATTTTGTTTGTTAAAGATACAATTATTTTTAAGAATTCAACATCTTTTTATTGTAGGTTGTGGGTAACCATTACCACCCTATTTAACAAACTTCTCAACTTAACCAAAATTTACGAATAGCAGCGAAAAGACTTTTTTTTCAAAAGTAGGCTCGGTTGTGGTCTTAATCTTTAGCTTGTAGGTTATACTTTGTGCAAAAAGCCTAATTCAGGTTTTAAATTGTTAACTCATTTTAAAATAATTATAATTGTTATTATAAAGATTGATTTATTTTACTTATTAATTTTTTTAGGTTGGGGGGGGGGGGCACTCGCCCTTCCCACAAGTCAATAAGCACACCACCAATAAATGAAATTCTTGTAGCAAAAAAAAAATTTATGTTTTTTATACTGTGTACTAGTTTCACTTGTTTTATTAAATATAGAAATATTTATTTATTTATAATTAGAGAATTAAATATTTTTGAAATTAGGGTGTGTTAAACCATCACCACCATATCCACCACCAACTTTAATAAACATCAATCATTGATGGTCTGGAATAAAATTATAGCAATTTTTTGTATAAAAAAATAACCGTTTGTTGAAAAAAAAAAACCTTTTATTGAAAGAAATATGCTTATTTTTAGAGTAAAGGTGGTGGTTTGGCACCCCCTCTAGCCCCCAGGAAACGCCCAATAGGTGGACGATGTTATAAATTTGTAGCCCACAGTTACACCTATCTTTTGATACTAAGTTATAGGTATTTAGACAAGAATTGACAAAGTTATAACAATTTAAGTAAAGAAAAATTAAATTTTGACCTCAGTTTCTTCAACAAATCCATATATCAAAAATTTGCGACTAAAAACGTCATAACTTTTTGTAGAATAGTCCGATTTTAATAATTTTTTTACCTTTAAAATACTGTATTGAAGCACTTTTTAATGATATATATAACAATCTAACCTTTGATCAATTTAAAATTTTCAATCCACATACCTACTTATATGGATATAATCACTAATATTGAAACTTGCGCCTTAGAACTCGAACAACAAAATAAACAAACACAAGCAGAGATTCTTCAACAAAACTGTTTCAAAATTCTAACCAGTTCTTTAAAATTAAAAAAAAAAAGATAATTTAACAAAACAACAAAACATTCTTTACAATACCTGAAAAAACATTCACATCTAAAGATATATTCGTTTGACAAAGGAACAGGTTTTGCTTTATTATACAAAAATGAAGCAAAAGCGAAATTAAAAGAACAAATAAAAAATAGTAAAATTCTTGAATACGACCCACATTCACTACTAAATTTCAAAAACTGTTATGTAAATTAAGAAAACAAGATAAGTTACACAATGCTACTTATTTTAAAATGCTTCCATCAGATTGCGTTCCACCTAGAATCTATGGAATGGTTAAAGCACACAAACCGGAAAAAAACTACCCAATGCGTCCTGTTGTTTCTACTTTTAACACACCTCCTAATGGAACATCTGAGTATCTGGTTAAAATTATCCAACCAACATTAAACAAAAATATAACTCGACTAATTAATTCAAGAAACTTTGTCAATGATGCTAAAGAATGGAAGATAGGCCCTAATGAAATTCAGGTTTCTTTCAATGTAATTAATTTATATCCATCCGTACCAATAAATGAAGCAATTCCTGTTATTATTAACATATTGAACGATGATTTTGAAGATTTAAACACTAGGACTAAATTAACTCTCATAGATATACACCAATTAATTGAACTATCGTTAATCGTATGTTATTTTTTATACGAAGATAAAATCCGAATTTTACCTAATTCAGGTCCAATTGGTTTGTCATTGATGGTGGTTATAGCTGAAGCATTTTTGCGAAGTATAGAAAAAAAAGCGCTTGATATAGCCTTTGTTAGTTCATTCCAACCAATAACTTACAAAAGATATGTGGATGATAGCCATGCTCGCTTTGATTCAAAAGAAAAGCAAGAGTTATTTCTTAAAGCTTTAAATGAACAAAACCCCTCCATAAAATATACCGTTGAACTTGAAAACAAAAGAAAACAACTTAATTTTTCAGATATTTGTATTACAAATACAATGAATGGATTTTATGAATTTCAAGTACACCGTAAGGCTGCGATAACACAAATGTTCAAATAAAACTAAACTTCAACATCAACTTGGGTTGATGTTGAAGTTGGGCATAACCACTGGCGTCTTTAAAGGCTTTTTATGTTGAGCAAAACAAATCTGGTCTTAAAAATATCTCTCCCAAGAAATTGATTTCCTCATAAATACATTTTTTGAAAGCGGCTATAACAAAAATAATCTAATTAAAATAACCAAAAACTATTTAGACGGCATTTCAAAAAATACTACATCTAATCAATTAAATCAAAAGTTTGTTAAACTACCTTGGATACCTATTATTGGCCCAAAACTCCGAAGAGAATTTAAAAAACAAAACATCAGAGTTATATTTACTTCAGCTCCCAATTTAAATAAAATATTAAGCAACAACAAAACGAAACTACCTCCAAACTTAAATCCGGGAGTTTATCAACTTAAAAAACAGAAATATATATTTTGTAACGTTTTATTATTACCTGATAACGCTGACCACAATAGGTCAGCAAAACATCGTTAATATATTTTTACATCAAAACATATTTAAAAATAGTTATATGCTGCTTTTTTATTAAAATCAATTTACATATTATATATACATATATATATATATATATATATATATATATATATATATATATATATATATATATATATATATATATATATATATATATATATATATATATATATATATATATATATATATATATATCAAGCCTTCCCAGGAAAGGCGTGCGGTTTTTTGTCTCGTATAGACCACACACGATAATAATATTTTAGAAAGCGTGAACATGGCCGTTTGCAAGTTTTATAATAATGCTAAAAAAGTTTCAAAAACAAAAAAACAAAACTAACAAAATAAAAAGAGATTGAAATAGAAAAAATAAAAACAAATTAATAATTTAAATAATTTGTGTACTGTTTTTATTTTTGTTTCTTTAGAGTGGTTGTTACATTCAGCAACAAAATTAAATAAGGCGAAGCAAAAAAAAAAAACAGTTTGAAGTCTACAATAAAAAGAATGATTTTCCTTTTCTTAATTTTTTTTTAAGAGGATAGCAAAAATACAAATTGCAATGTGTTTGTAAAATTTATTTGTATAATTTTAATGTAAGAACAAGGATTAAATAAAGCAAATGCAAAACGCAAAATCTGGAAAAATATCTAGTAATCAAAATTTTAGTTTATACAAAACTGTATTCCTTGTTTTTAAGGGGAGAATCAACTTAAATTTGTTAGCGAAAAAAGAAAAAATAAAACAATAAACTTACGATTACAAAAGTAATAACACTCTAGTCACTAAGGTTTGGGTCTTTAAAGCGAAACTTTTAAGAGCGAAAATTTTGAAAGCGAAAGGTTGGAAAAGCGAAAAAATGCGATTGGTTAAGCGAGAAAATTTTTTTAATAACATAGGTAACATCTTAAATGAAGATGTTATTAAGACTTAATTGCCCTACTTAACATTGGTAACATCTTAATAACATTTTCTTAACATTGGTAACATTATTTTTATATAAATATATATAAGTTAACCTATTATTTTTTTTCATTGAATTGTGTCATCTTAAAGTTGTTACAATTGAAGTGAGTCAATTTCAGAAATAAGTTCATGAAGTTTATTATAAACTTTAAAAGTTTATACTTTATAGAAAATTGAGTAGGGCAAAATTGAATTGTTTAGAATTTTGCTCCAAAACAAAGCGTAAAAGTTAAGTGTTTATACCAATGATAAGAGGGAAAATAAGTTGTTTTCGCATAAAAAATTTAGTTAGAAGTGGTTCTCTTTTATGTTCCAGCATATCGGACAGTTATATTGTTACTGTTTAATTATCTGCAAGGCAAAGTGAGTATTTTAATATTTGTGCTTAAAATAATGTTAATAATTGTTATCAGACATTCACTTTAGAAATATGAATTATAACTTAAAGCCTGTGTCAAAAATGACTTTTATGTTGTATTTAAATATGACTTAATGACATTATTTATATGACTTATGACATTATTTTAGAAAAATGGCTTTTATATGGTGCATTTGCGTGAAATTTGACTTATAGTCTATTGGTCAAAAATCACAATATAAGTCTCTATAATAAAGATACTTATATTGTGACCATTATGTATGGCATTATCTTGATCGATGTTGTTACACTTGGAATATGTTGTTTCAACTTTTAGGTATTTTATTTTGCTACAATTTTTTTATGACGTTGTTTTGATTTGATTTGTTCTGTAAACAGAAAGCTGTACAATGTCCTTTTTTTCCCCACATGTTGAATTTCAGCAACATTTTTGTCAAAATTATTTATAGTTCATTTTACAAGAGGTAGTAGAAGATTATTTTATTTTTAACTACTTTCTTATTTTGTAATGTGGTTTTTTTTGTTTTAGAACAATTTAAGAGTATGATTTAATTAATAACTGTGTGAATCTTCTTGGTTGATGCCTAAAAGATTTTTTGAAGGCAGTTCTACATTTTATTGAAATATAAAAACATGCCAATATCCCAAAAATTATTCTGCGTAATGTTTTTTGGATTGTTTGCATGTAAAATTAAAAATTCAGTCATTGATTGTGAAAAAGACTAATTGGCTAATTAGTTTAAAAAGTTTCAATGGTGATGATTGATTGGTGAGAAACTTATTTACTTTTTATGTTTTAATTACATGATTTGTTAATATTTATGATATGAATTGTTTGTGAGCTCAGTAAAGTTTTTATTTCTACATTTGTATTACTTAGCACAAATATTTTATAATTTTGTCTACAAATTGGTTTGTAATAGCCTTAATTATCTTATTTACTTAATGTTCAGTATACTGTAATGTTGTTTTTAAACTAGATAAAATAGTTTTTAAAACGAAAATTACTGCTGGCTCTATATGAATCTAATTTTAGTTTACTTCTTTGGGAATTTTATATCATTTACTAAGTTTATTGTATTGGTAACTTTTTTTATTACTAAAAAAAGAATTTTGTTACAAAAAAAAAAAGTAAAATGCATAACATCCCAGCTATTACAATACATTG